GGACAAATCACATGCTCTGTTGCATGATTTTTCACGTGTAAATAAATCTCTTCAAAGCTTACCCAGTGGTGGAAACTTCTTAAAGGATGAAACTGAAATGATAAAAAGCAGTTTTCGTAAAATAGACTGGTTGTGTAACTTACTCAGAGGGATCGATTTTTCAAAATCGCCGAAAATAGGGTACGAGTAGACATAAAGTGATCTTTACACTTACAATATGACGAGTGATTTATCATGTTCTTCAAAGCCTTGAAGTAATGTTTAAAGGCCGACAATGAGGACTTGACGGGGTTTCAAAGTCCGCGCAATTAGTTCCAGTCCGAGGCGCTAGCCGAGGACTGGAACTAATTGCGCGGACTTTGAAATCCCGTCAAGTCCGAATTGGAGGCCTTTGAACGACTTCAAAAACTCATTAATTATTCGGGAGGGGAAAAAAACGAAGGAAATACATATAACAGAAATATATTTATTTATTGCATCTCCACTAAGGTTTTCAGTTTTCATAATTTTGAATGCATGAAGCACCGTTTGTTGTTCTTCAATTCCCGGACGGCTTTCTGAAACAAAAGCTATTCAAATTGTCTTTGTCTGCTATTCATGGCATTCCTAATGAGTCTAATCCATAAGATTTATAAGTATGTTATCTTCCGAGGAATCGCATCAGAAACTCGGTGGCGTAATGGTATAAGACGGCGCATATAGACTGGACGGTAGGGGATTGAGTCGTGAGGGAGTCATGTATCAAAGACCTTTTTTCACTAAATTAATGTTAAACTGATTATTTCTAATAATTTGATTATCATTAGCTAGTAGTAGTTGGAAACATGGTAGAAGTAACTGGAAATAAGGTAGAAGTAACTGGAAATAATGTAGAAGTAACTTGAAAAAGGTAGAAGTAACTGGAAATAAGGTAGAATACAAGGTACGAGTACTTCCTCTGGTTTCAAGTTACTTCACGTGGTACAAATTACAAACAGGGATTGGCTGGATACCTCATGAATAATTAATGAGTTTTTGAAAGGTAGTTTATGTCCTTTACCACATATTGGCGACAACTCGTTATCAATGTGGACAAAATGAAGAACCCACAATCTGAGAGCGGTCAGAAACTCTCCATGACAGTTTGCATGGCCAAGCATCGAATGGATGGAAAACTAATAAATAAAAGAAGAAGGAGAAACATATGTTTATCCCTGYTACAATCATAATGTTAGCAAAAGCTATTCAATAATAATCAGTCTCAAATGTGTTATGTTGAAAAAAGACTRAGACGGACTATGATAATCAGTGTGACCATGAGATGGCCATTAAGTAGTATTCTCAGTGATTTTGTTTGTAGGAGAAAATAACTTGCTATATCAGTGAGCTTTCACAATATGTCACTTTTCATCAATTTTTTTATCGCAGGAGCAATCGCAGGGCTGTTTACACGTGCGTTTTGACCCGATTGTCGCGCAACAATCGCGCAGCTGGCCTTTAGTCTCCACCCTGCAGTGCAAGAATGATGAGAAGTCATCAAAACTTAGTTGAAACAAAGTGATATGAAGTAATTTGTCTTAGTTTAACCACAAATAACAACGAAAGCAAGATTTGTAATCCGCTTGCTTTGCACGCACACCAGTCGCTTCGATATTTCCAATATGACACAGGAAACTGTGAAGATAGACTATTCAGGTATTATTTTTCAGTAATTGGTTAACGCTGTTGCGCGTATCAACCAGAAATCAAATTAAAGAATTGAATCAAATCAAAGTCACGAGTCCACGATTCCAATACATATTTAAAAGTCCTAACTATAAAAGCAATGTTAACATATCAGTCGAGCGACTTAAACAAGGATTATGCTCAACGTTATGTAGGGTTAACCTTTAAGGCCCGTTTACACTGTCTTGCAATTTTTGCAGCGCGATTGTCGCGCGATAATCGCCACTTTGTTCTCTCGCACCTCAAATCGTACGTGTAAACAGCCCCGCGATTGTCGCAGCGATCAAAAATCGCCGCGAGTTGCAGCTAAATTTCAAGCATGTTCGAAACTAAGGCGATTGTCGCGCGACAATCGCGCTGCAAAAATTGCAAGCAGAAATTGCAAGTGTAAATGGGCCTTTAGAAGAAACCACATGCAGGGAAGAGGCTGCGAGTCTAACAGACTGAAAACGGTGGAAGCGTTGCAGTGATTACACCTCTTATCAACGCCAAGTACCAATAAAGGAAAAAGAAGAACCAGTTGTATAATACCATACTGTAATGTCAGATGAATKTTGAGCGTTATTCAATTTCTATAATCTCTTCTCATTGATTCAATCTAGMCCAGTCCCAGTCCCTTTTTAGCCCACACTCTTGATGAACTATTGTTTGCGGGAATAAGGGTCCAGAAGAACTTAATGCGCATGCACTGTATCATCCAGTAARAAACTGTCAGGAATTATTACAAAAATTAAAAAGGTCCGTGGAGTGTAACTCCCAAGTCTTCCATTGCTGCTTTAGCGAATAAGACCCCAACCGAATATTGGGGTCATAGTGGTAGTACGTAAATTTAAGGGGGATAAAGACCCTGTCTAAAAAGGAGGCATCTTCTCTTCATTCTAAATTGCGATAAGGTCCTCGCGAAATCATATATCAAACAAAGTT